TTTTTAAGAGCACATATCTTCATGCAACCTTTATTTAGTGGCTTAGATTCTGGACCTGTGCATCGAATCCCCGCCTTCTCCTTCTCGTCTCCCTCCTCCGTGTTTGTAGTGTTACTTTTAAACTTTGTTTTCTCCCCAGATTCTCAGCGTTTGAAAGTTGAGCTTCCCGTACACTGCACCCTCAGACAGCACGCGCTCAAAGGCAGCCATTGATCTAGCAGTCAAAAGCAAAGCCTTGGAAGTGCTCTCTGATCAGCCATCCCACTCACCCTCTCTCCCCCTCCTCTCTCTCTTACCCTCTGTGGCAGGGAGCATCACTCCTCGCATCCGAACTCCTGAAACTGGGTCAGACGACGCCATCAGGAACATCCTGGAGCAAGCCAAGAAGGAGATCCAGTCCCAGAGGGGAGGTGAGGGGGAGGCAGAGAGACATATTGATTGATTTGACTTTTATTGATGTTTACCGTCTTTATCATGCATTTGGATCATTTTGTTGCAACTTAATATGAAAGGGCCATGCCTATAATGCGTTTTTTAAAGAAGCGTTATACAGTAAACTGCTTATGTCGCTGTTTAATTGTCATTGTAGGAACACGTACATATTTATCATGCTGTAAAACAATAATTATGGCACACTATGACGCATGTTGTAACTTCTTATAAGGTCAGGTATCATAATACTAAAATTGCATTCGATTAATTTTTGCAAGAACCAAAGTGTAGTAGTTAAAGTAAAATATTCCCACAATATAATGCATTTTTTAAAGAACTGTTATACAGTAAACTGCTTATATCGCTGTTTAATTATCAATGGAGAAACACGTACATATTCATAATGATTTATAGCAATAATTATGGCACACTATGAAGCATGTTATAACTTATATATATCATAATACTAACATTCAGTGCATAAATACAATTCAATTTATTTTTGCAAGAACCAAAGAGTAGTAGTAACTTATTCCCACAATATAATGCATTTTTTTACTTGTAAAGCGTTATACAGTAAACTGCTTAAATCGATGTTTAATAATCATTGTAGGAACCAGTACATATGTATCATGCTGTATAACAAAAATAATATAACATTATGAAGCATTTTATAATTACTTATAAAGTCGAATACCATAATACTCAATAAATACTGCTTATGCAATGAATTTATTTATCCAATATGTATTGTATTTTCTCAAAGTTGTGATGTATTATAATCGCCGTTATAATAAAGAAAAGGTTAAATAAATAACTCTTATTAAAGTAAACAAGCCCACTGGTAAACTTTTAACCGCATTATTATACATTTTAAAGGGGACCTATCATGCAAAATGCACTTTGTGATGTCTTCTCTACATAAAGATGTGTCCCCGGTGTGTCGGGGAACTCACGCAGCGTCAGAAAATAAAACTCTCTCTCTTTTCCTCCGTACCCAAATCTCTAAAAACGGGGAACAACGGAGCTGATCCAGATTTGTGTCCGATATGACGTAATATCTGAAATGCGGACCCACGGCCCAATCAGAAACGTTGCTATCAGAAACAATGCCCGACTGTTTTGGACGTAATATGGTCTGTGTTTACATTAGCATCGCTAACACTCAGAGCTAACCTGTACTGGAGAGCATGTGTGTGAAGAAGCAAGAAGTAAAAAGGAACTCACCTTGTGGTATAACCGGCAAGAGAGAAAGCCTTTGAGCTCCAGACTGTTTCAGAGAGAATCCTTGATAATCCATGATATGGCGTTTCATCACGGCAGCATTTAGTTTAGACAGTAGCTGCCGGGTCCGCATGAGCTCAGACCCCTGCTTTTTATTTTTTAAAGCTTTATCCCCAAATCAGCACTTTAGAAACAGGAAGTGAAATAGAGGGATATGAGGCATGGCTAGAATGATCTGTTTGGTATTTTGAGCAAAACACTTCATAGACATGTTTTTTATATATATTTGTATATATCTGAGACCTATGCTATTGCCTAGAAATAGCAGGTGACCTTTAACTGTGACTATTGTCCATTGCAAAACAATTATACATATATTTGTATTATGAACTTTGAGAAAGAAATGTAATTGAGTGAGCAGCAAATATGAACCGTAGACATCGGTTGCTAAGAGTTACGCAAAGTTTCAAGAATGCACACTGCATAGCTTCAAACAAAAAATGTTTATGAGCAACTTGTTGGTCCTAACCTTCATCTGGGAAAACACATTTTTATCGAAAGCTGTTTTTAAAGCCAGAGTCTGTCCCAGGCGACGGGAAGCTTTATACAAATGATTATACAGAGCTATAAACAGATAATAACACATTTCAGCCTGTTAATTATGCATTATAGACATGGGTTGTATAGAAAGTGTTACCTTAGGGTTGAAAATCAACTCCTACACTCAGTATAACTTCCCAAATAAGATATTATAATAAAAGAGTTACACAAAGTAACTTGAAACCAAAAAAACATTTGCAACATTTTTCTACCTTCCAAAAAGTGATTTTAGAAATCTTTCTTACGGTTAAAAAACAATTCAAGATTCAAAGGTGTTATCATCATATGCACAAAGCTACAGTGTAGAAATGGCAATGAAATTATTCTGACCTGAGCTCCTCCAACAATGCAACATATATAATAAAATACAAAGTAGTGCAAAAAGTCTATAACATGTACAAGAACAGAAGATGAAATTAAATAATGTAAATTAAGACACAATGAAATACGGTTGATTGATTCAAAGCAAACAGGAATGTTTAACAGAGCTCAGGTGTTTAGCAGTCTTATGGCCTGTGGGATAACATGTGAATACTTATGAGTGCTTATAACAATGTAAGTATGCTATCTTTAATGCATTACAGACATTGGTTGCATAGACAAAGTTACACAGTAAGTAGCAAGTATGCACACTGCACAACTTATCTCATCTGGCAAAACAAGTCTTATCGAAAGTTGTTTTTCAAAGACATGTTTTCAAAATGTGTTTTTCAAAGTCAGAGTGTTTTCAAAATGTGTTTTTAAAGTCAGAGTGTTTTCAAAATGTGTTTTTAAAGTCAGAGTGTTTTCAAAATGTGTTTTTAAAGTCAGTGTTTTCAAAATGTGTTTTTAAAGTCAGTGTTTTCAAAATGTGTTTTTAAAGTCAGTGTTTTCAAAATGTGTTTTTAAAGTCAGTGTTTTCAAAATATGTTTTTAAAGTCAGTGTGTTTTCAAAATGTGTTGTTAAAGTCAGTGTTTTCAAAATGTGTTTTTAAAGTCAGTGTTTTCAAAATGTGTTTTTAAAGTCAGTGTGTTTTCAAAATGTGTTGTTAAAGTCAGTGTTTTCAAAATGTGTTGTTAAAGTCAGTGTGTTGTTAAAGTCAGTGTGCTTGTGTCCCAGGCGAGGGGCGGTCTCTCCTCAGCTCGTCGTCGGGCCGCAGCAGCATCGGGCCGGGCAGCAGCTCCGATGACACCATAAAGAACATCCTGGTGCAGGCGAGGAGGGAGATGGAGGCGCAGCAACACGCCATCATGGAGATGGAGGTCTGTGGGAGGAGCCCCTCTGCTGGATCCGGCCCTCAGGTGGAGCGTCTGGGCCCCCCCGAGCGCTCCAGAGCCCCACAGAGACCCCTGTCCATCAAACAAGAAGAGGGAGGAGTCACCCTCTGCATGGCTAACCCAATCAGCAGCCCGCAGACCCCCCTCAGCGTCCTCTCCCCCGCCGCTTTCGTGCAGAACATCATCCGCAAAGTGAAGTCTGAAATCGGGGAGGTGGGGAGCTACTTCGACCAGCACTGGAGCCACGAGCGGGGGTCCATGGTGCTCAGTGGAGGGGGGAGTTCTCTACCTTTTAATTCAGTCTCCCCCTCCCTGTCTTCCACCTCCTCCTCTGGACCCCCAATTCTCCCCCGACCGTGGCCCCGCCTGGAAAATGGAGAGTTTCAAACAAACAGCGAGGAGGCATCGGGGGCCGAGGAGGAGCTGGTGAAGGTGAATATATATATATATATTTTGTTGATTTGTTTCAACCATTTTACCCTTTAGTGATGTTACTGTTACTCTCTGGTCCCCGGCTTGAGCTTCAGCCTCAGGATCCACGTACCTGTGATCCTCTCCAGAATGGAAGTAGTCATCACATACAGAGCATCAACTAGTTCCTGAACAGTGTCCTTCACATGCTGATATCCAAGAGAGGGAGTTACACAGTCACAAGATGGAGGAATTATGACTTTTTCTCTAATGATGGCTTTTTCCTAAAAATTGGACTTTTTCTGGAACCCGAAAAATATTATTCAAACATAGCATGATAGGTCCACTTTAAAATGTTAATAATCACTCGTCACCGGCTTGATCTTCAGTCTCAGGATCCATGTATTTGTGATCCTCTCCAGAATGGAAGCAGTCATCACATACAGAGCATCTACTAGTTCCTGAACAGTGTCCTTCACATGCTGATATCCAAGAGAGAGAGTTACACAGTCACAAGATGGAGGAATAGAAAGCAGTATTCAATGTTTACTTCAGATTAGCTCCACGTCAGAAATGAGCATGCTTGATGTCTCTCTCCATAGAGGCTGAATCCTCATGTTAATCACATAGCTATCAAATGCCTCAAACAGTCCTGATGCTCTTCTAGGTAATCACACATCCTGTCATGTTCACAGCTACAGTTGGGATACCTTTGTTATCGTGTTACTCTCATGTTGGACAGAGACACTCAGTATTTTCCCAACACTTATGAAGGTGGTGGAGGTGAAGGTGGAGTCGGACACCTCAATGAGCGGGGAGTCTCCGGGTCCAGGGCCACGAGGAGGACTCTCTTACTATCCGGCTTACATCCCGCGCGCCCTGAAGCCCACCGTGCCCCCGCTGACCCCAGAGCAGTACGAGATGTACATGTACCGCGAGGTGGACACGCTGGAGCTCACCCGCCAGGTGAAGGAGAAGCTGGCCAAGAACGGCATCTGCCAGAGGATCTTCGGAGAGAAGGTTTGAAAGAGTCTTATGAATCCGCTTTCTGAAGTGTGTGTGTGTGTGTGTGTGTGTGTGTGTGTGTGTGTGTGTGTGTGTGTGTGTGTGTGTGTGTGTGTGTGTGTGTGTGTGTGTGTGTGTGTGGTGTGTGTGTGTGTGTGTGTGGTGTTGTGTGTGTGTGTGTGTGTGTGTTGTGTGTGTGTGTGTGTGGTGTGTGTGTGTGTGTTGTGTGTGTGTGTGTGTGTGTGTGTGTGTGTGAACGCCTCCATTGGACTCCTTTGTTGACTTCCTGAACATAGTGACATCATGATGTAACACATGCGCTTCTATTGGCTAGAGCTTGTGATCGGTTGACCAATCACAACAGAGCCGGCCACCTAACCAATCAGAGCAGACTGGGCTCTGGTTTCAGACAGAGGGTGAAAAGAGGTGCTGCAGCACAGGCAGTATGAGAACAATAAAGAGCTTTTTGAACATTAAAGCATGGAGACATGTAGAGACACTACATACTGATATACACCTGAACATCAGCAGGAGAGGACTCTTTAAAGTAGAGACACTACACACTGATATACACCTGAACATCAGCAGGAGAGGACTCTTTAAAGTAGAGACACTACATACTGATATACACCTGAACATCAGCAGGAGAGGACTCTTTAAAGTAGAGACACTACATACTGATATACACCTGAACATCAGCAGGAGAGGACTCTTTAAAGTAGAGACACTACATACTGATATACACCTGAACATCAGCAGGAGAGGACTCTTTAAAGTAGAGACACTACATACTGATATACACCTGAACATCTGCAGGAGAGGACTCTTTAAAGTAGAGACACTACATACTGATATACACCTGAACATCAGCAGGAGAGGACTCTTTAAAGTAGAGACACTACATACTGATATACACCTGAACATCAGCAGGAGAGGACTCTTTAAAGTAGAGACACTACATACTGATATACACCTGAACATCAGCAGGAGAGGACTCTTTAAAGTAGAGACACTACATACTGATATACACCTGAACATCAGCAGGAGAGGACTCTTTAAAGTAGAGACACTACATACTGATAGACACCTGAACATCAGCAGGAGAGGACTCTTTAAAGTAGAGACACTACATACTGATATACACCTGAGCATCAGCAGGAGAGGACTCTTTAAAGTAGAGACACTACATACTGATATACACCTGAACATCAGCAGGAGAGGACTCTTTAAAGTAGAGACACTACATACTGATATACACCTGAACATCAGCAGGAGAGGACTCTTTAAAGTAGAGACACTACATACTGAAATACACCTGAACATCAGCAGGAGAGGACTCTTTAAAGTAGAGACACTACATACTAATATACACCTGAACATCAGCAGGAGAGGACTCTTTAAAGTAGAGACACTACATACTGATATACACCTGAACATCAGCAGGAGAGGACTCTTTAAAGTAGAGACACTACATACTGATATACACCTGAACATCAGCAGGAGAGGACTCTTTAAAGTAGAGACACTACATACTGATAGACACCTGAACATCAGCAGGAGAGGACTCTTTAAAGTAGAGACACTACATACTGATATACACCTGAGCATCAGCAGGAGAGGACTCTTTAAAGTAGAGACACTACATACTGATATACACCTGAACATCAGCAGGAGAGGACTCTTTAAAGTAGAGACACTACATACTGATATACACCTGAACATCAGCAGGAGAGGACTCTTTAAAGTAGAGACACTACATACTGATATACACCTGAACATCAGCAGGAGAGGACTCTTTAAAGTAGAGACACTACATACTGATATACACCTGAACATCAGCAGGAGAGGACTCTTTAAAGTAGAGACACTACATACTGATATACACCTGAACATCAGCAGGAGAGGACTCTTTAAAGTAGAGACACTACATACTGATATACACCTGAACATCAGCAGGAGAGGACTCTTTAAAGTAGAGACACTACATACTGATATACACCTGAACATCAGCAGGAGAGGACTCTTTAAAGTAGAGACACTACATACTGATATACACCTGAACATCAGCAGGAGAGGACTCTTTAAAGTAGAGACACTACATACTGATATACACCTGAACATCAGCAGGAGAGGACTCTTTAAAGTAGAGACACTACATACTGATATACACCTGAACATCAGCAGGAGAGGACTCTTTAAAGTAGAGACACTACATACTGATATACACCTGAACATCAGCAGGAGAGGACTCTTTAAAGTAGAGACACTACATACTGATATACACCTGAACATCAGCAGGAGAGGACTCTTTAAAGTAGAGGACACTACATACTGATATACACCTGAACATCAGCCGGAGAGGACTCTTTAAAGTAGAGACACTACATACTGATATACACCTGAACATCAGCAGGAGAGGACTCTTTAAAGTAGAGACACTACATACTGATATACACCTGAACATCAGCAGGAGAGGACTCTTTAAAGTAGAGGCACTACACACTGATATACACCTGAACATCAGCAGGAGAGGACTCTTTAAAGTAGAGACACTACATACTGATATACACCTGAACATCAGCAGGAGAGGACTCTTTAAAGTAGAGACACTACATACTGATATACACCTGAACATCAGCAGGAGAGGACTCTTTAAAGTAGAGACACTACATACTGATATACACCTGAACATCAGCAGGGGAGGACTCTTTAAAGTAGAGACACTACATACTGATATACACCTGAACATCAGCAGGAGAGGACTCTTTAAAGTAGAGACACTACATACTGATATGAAGCTGACAATGAACATTATATGTCTTTAAAATAAATCTCATGCAACACGCTTGTATGCTAATGTAGAATCTGTTCTCACTGCACAAAATGTGAAAATACGAGAACAATTACACTCCTGAACCGAGGACTTCTCATACACTAGCAGAGGATAGCATAAGCATTTTACACTGAGTAGACATATTTAATAAAGTCCAATAATATAACTTGTGACTTTTGATATGGTAATCATATTGCAGTTGCATCGCATACAGCCAGCTTGCAAAATAATATTTTCACTCTTCAAACCAAATGGCTTTTGGATGTTCAAAATATAAGCAGCTAATTTGCATATATTTTTCTAGCCGGTAAATGGTGCTCATTATGTCCTTGGTGTCAGGTCTGCATGGGTATCCTAGTCCTATATGTAATCATTATTAGCAAACCAAATTAACTGAGGCAAGACCAGGTCCAGTGTGTAGACTTAAAACAAAAAGAGGATTTGAGGGCTCTGAAATGCTTGATTTAAAGCAGGTGAACTAGAAGCTGTCTGAAAGTCTTTAGGGGCGTTTTCCTAGTAGTTGTCTGAGTGAATAAACTCATGACCATGGATGTTCTTTATCTCCATGAAAAGTGCTTAAACTACGAGTAAAAAAGGACTTATCATAAACATTTGTAATGTAATGTCGCCCTCTAGTGGCTGTTTGCTCAAAGTGCATCACTGAGGCTTTACAGAAAGAGCTTCTGTACTAATAATAATAATAATAATAAATGATATTTATATAGCGCCTTTCAAGGGACCCAAGGTCGCTGTACATGGTGGACAAACAAAACAAACAGACAATCAACGGGCAAACCAAAGAAGTAAATAAAGGAAGCCGGGGGACCAGAAAAGGGCTAGGGCCTGAAGGCCAGGGTGAACAGGTGTGTTTTTAGTGATGATTTGAAGATGTCCAGGGAGGCAGCATTACGGATCTCGGCAGGAAGTGCATTCCAGAGGGTGGGGGCCGCAACACTGAACGCCCTGTCAGCAACAGTTCGGAGGTGAGAGCGGGGGATGGAGAGCAGGCCCGTGTCTGAGGACCGCAGACTCCGAGAGGGGGTGTAGGGATGGAGGAGGTCCGATAAGTACTGGGGGCGAGGGTATGGAGGGACTTGTACGTGAGGATGAGAGTTTTGTATTGAATCCGGGACTTGACCGGCAGCCAGTGTAGGAGGATGAGGGTGGGGGTGATATGGTGCCATGGCTTGGTGTGGGTGAGAAGCCTGGCGGCAGAGTTCTGGACGTATTGGAGCCTGTCCAGGGTTTTGCTGGGAACCCCGGACTGGACTCCATTGCAATAGTCCAGACGGGATGTAATGAAGGCGTGTACCAGGGTTTCTGCCACAGACTCAGAGAGTGAAGGCCGGATTCTGGCAATGTTCTTTAGGTGGTAGAAGGCGGATTTGGTGACAGATTTGACACTGTGGCATTATCATTTCTTTAATACATTTCTTGTTCGTATTGTCACAAAAAGCATGTGCAGGTTACATGCATCAACCTGTATTACATACAACATATAATTAGCTGTATTTCATATATAAAACATATTTAAATGTGTTTCATGGTGCAGTTGCAGGTACAATGAAACAACTTATATTATATATATATAACAACTATATAAAGCTGTAATTGATAGTGCCGATAAAATGCACCTGTATTGTATAAACTAAGATAAGATGAACCTTTATTAATCCCCGTGGGGAAATTCAGTTGTGCAAAAGCAGCAACAGCGTGAAAAAACAGGACCGCAAAGATTCACACAGATTCATAAAATCTAAAATAAATAAAATCAAGATAATTTTTTTTTAAAATAATAATGATAATAAAAATAAAAGACTATGAAATAGGAGATGAGTAAAAATAAGAGTAAATAACTGTCAGTATATACATATTTGGTCATCTAAGTTATAAAGTACGGAATGAGTTAAAGTGACAAGTGAAAATGGACATCTGTACACATAGTGACATATCTGCCTATTTGGTCTACTACTAATTATGTTAGCATGGGTTGTGGAAACAGTGTATATTTATGTCCAGTGATTTCATTTGATTTCTTTTTCATCATTAACCCCTTATTGTGCAGCCTGATGGCTCCAGGCACAAAGGACTGTCCGAGGCGCTTGGTGCGTTGTCGTGGAGGGATGAGTCTGTGGCTGAACGTACTCTTCATCTTCACTAGCTCTGCGTGGAGTGGGTGGGAGGGGTTCTCTAGGATGCTGTCGAGCTTCCTCCTCGTCCTCCCCTCTGCCACCTCCTCCAGATTGTCCAGTTGAACTCCCACTACAGAGCTAGCCTTCCTCACGAGCTTGTTCAGCCTGCCAGTGTCCCTAGTGTTTGTGTTTCCACCCCAGCACACCACGGCAAAGACGAGCACACAGACTGGTAGAACATCTGCAGCAGCCTCGTGCACACGGTGAAGGACCTGAGCCTCCTCAGGAAGAACAGCTTGCTCTGTCCCTTCCTGAGGAGAGCATCAGTGTTGTCTGTCCAGTCCAGTTTATTGTTTAAGTGCACTCCCAGGAACTTGTAGCTGTTCACCACCTCCACATCCTTCCCCCTGATGGTGATGGGGGTCAGAGGCCTCTTCCTGCTCCGCCTGAAGCTCCTTAGTCTTGCTGATGTTGAGCTGGAGGTGATTGTTGTCACACCAGCCTACGAAGTTCTCCACCAGGGCCCTGTACTCCTCCTCATTGTCATCTGTGATGCAGCTGACAATGGAGGAGTCGTCAGAGAACTTCTGTAGGTGGCATGAGCCGGAGGAAGAGCTGCTCAGTACAGGCAGCCACTCTGGGCGGCGCTCAAGAGAACTATATTTACCTGTAAGAAATATCATATTTTAAGCTGTGTGATATGGTGCAGGTGCAGGTTACATGCATTAACCTGTATTCAATATATAAAGTATAATTACCTGTGTTATGTATTAAGTTATACTTCCCTGTGTGTTCTGCAGATCCTGGGTCTGTCTCAGGGCTCTGTGTCCGACATGCTGTCCCGACCCAAACCCTGGAGCAAACTCACTCAGAAAGGTCGCGAGCCGTTCATCCGCATGCAGCTGTGGCTCCTGGACCAACTGGGCCAGAGCCTCAACCCGCCCCTCCACCACGGACACACTCTGGGTGAGACACACACACACACACACACACACACACACACACACACACACACACACACACACACACCACACACACACACACACACAACACACACACACACACCACACACACACACCACACACACCACACACACACCCACAACACACACAACACACACACACACCACACACACACACACACACACACACACACACACACACAAAAAGAGAAGCCAGAATCACACTTGAGATGAGTTAGTGCCAAAAATCATTTGTGGTGATCACTTTTCGCCTTGTTTTTCATCATTTTTCATCATTTTATATCAGTTTTTTGTGCACATGTTGTGTCTTTGTAGCCATTTTGTGTCTGTTCATGGTCACATTGAAGGTCTTTGCCATTTTGTTTGTCTTTGTTGTTGTTTTGAGTCACTTCTTTGTAATTCTTTGGGTATTTCTGTATCAATTTCTCGTCTGTGTGTTGTGCATTTCTTTGTAGTATTTTGCCCACCTTCCATAGTCGCTGTAAGTCTCTTTTTGGCCATTTTGAATCTCTTCCTGGTCAGTATGGGTCTCTTACTTTATAGGTATCTTGGGCTAATGCCCGTTTGGCCTGTTCAATTTCAAATGTGGGAAATAAAGACACAAAAAAGTAAGTTTAGTCCTTTGAAGCCGTCCAAAAGAAAGACTAATTGTTGCATACGTTAAAAAAAGGACAATCTTTCTCTTTCGTTGTTGTGAAAGTTGTTTTTTTAAATTTCTTTTTTCCTTAAGATGCAGATCAGAGCCCGGTGACGGCCCAGTCGTCCCCCTCGCCGCCCCCCTCCCCCGCTGAGAGCCCCCTGGAGCCCGGCAGCCTGTCTCTAGAGAGCAGCAAGGAGAACCAGCAGCCAGAGGGCCTGCTGCTGCCCCCCCACCCCGACGGAGGGAAGCCCCCCCCCGGCCTCATGGCCCCCCAGCAGCCGCCCCAGCCGCTGGGCATCCAGGAGCTGGTGGCCGTCGCTTCGGAGCTCGACACCTACACCATCACCAAGAAGGTGAAGGAGGTGCTGACGGACAACAACCTGGGTGGGTCTGAGTTCAAGATTCAAGGCTTTTCTATGTTTCGCTTGGTCATTTTGAGTCTCTTCCTGGTCCGTATGGGTCTCCTTTAAAAGGTCCCCCATAGGCGCGTTCACACCGCAGTACTTTTCCCACTTTAACATATTTACCAACACATGTTCTACGCCACTACATACTTACATTTAAATGTGTGCTGCGTCGGTTCAGCCATTCTCCGCGAAGTTTACCCATGTGCAGCCTCGAAATCTCCCCCAAACCAAGGACGCGGCCTCTGTGGAATTCCAAGTATGCTGGAGATTGGAACAGTCCTTTGGCGGCACTCGATGACGTAGCATCCTTGAAATATTGGCTTGGAAGCCAGAATCCTCGAGATTGTGAAACAGCCACTGTCTGTTACTTTAGATTAAAATAAGGAGCCCCTCCCCACGCCCCTCTGAGAGACATTTGGTTACAAAGAACTGAATGGTGCTCTAGGAGGAGATTCAGGTGATAAGGGGGGGGGGGGGGTTACCTTGGTTGCTGATTGGCTAATGCTTACACAAGACAACACATTGTTATGACATCATAAAGTGGCCAAAATCTGATCAGCTCATTTTCAGACAGGTTTTTATAGAAATGGATCAAAAGAGTGACGAGGAATCTTTGTTCCTGAAACTTTCAGATCTTCTTTCCATAGAGGGGGACACATTTGTTGATGTAGAAGAGACATGCAGAAGAAGCGGGGACACATGTTGGTTGATGTAGAAGAGAACATGAGAAGAGGGACCACATGGTTGATTTGTAGAAGCGACATGAAGGAAGAGGGACACATGTTGATGTTGAAGAGACATGAAGCAAGCGGGGAACAACATTTTTGATGTAGAAGTAGAATCGACATGAGAAGAGGGGACCCACATGTTGATGTAGAAGAGACATGAATGAAGGAGGGGACACATGTTTGATGTAAGAAGAGACATGGAGAAGCGGGGGGACACCATGTTGCTCGTACGAAGAGACATGAAAGGCAGAGGGGGACACATGTTGATGTAGAAGGCGACATGGAGAAGATGGGGCACACATGTTGAATGTTCGAAGAAGAGACATGAAGAAGAGGGGACACATGTTGATGTAGAAGAGACATGAAGAAGAGGGGACACATGTTGATGTAGAAGAGACATGAAGAAGAGGGGACACATGTTGATGTAGAAGAGACATGAAGAAGAGGGGACACATGTTGATGTAGAAGAGACATGATTAGATAGAGGGGACACATGTTTATGTAGAAGAGACATGAAGAGAGGGGACACATGTTGATGTAAAAGAGAAATGAAGAAGAGGGGACACATGTTGATGTAGAAGAGACATGAAGAAGAGGGGACACATGTTGATGTAGAAGAACATGGAAGGAAGAGGGGACACATGTTGATGTAGAAGAGACATGGAGAAAGGGACACATGTTGATGTAGAAGAGACATGAAGAAGAGGGGACACATGTTGATGTAGAAGAGACATGAAGAAGAGGGACACATGTTGATGTAGAAGAGAAATGAAGAAGAGAGGGACACATGTTGATATAGAAGAGACATGAAGAAGAGGGGACACATGTTGATGTAGAAGAGACATGAGAAGAGGGGACACATGTTGATGTAGAAGAGACATGAAGAAGAGGGGACACATGTTGATGTAGAAGAGAAATGAAGAAGAGGGGACACATGTTGATGTAGAAGAGACATGAAGAAGAGGGGACACATGTTGATGTAGGAGAGACATGAAGAAGAGGGGACACATGTTGATGTAGAAGAGACATGAAGAAGAGGGGACACATGTTGATATAGAAGAGACGTGAAGAAGAGGGGACACATGTTGATGTAGAAGAGAAATGAAGAAGAGGGGACACATGTTGATATAGAAGAGACGTGAAGAAGAGGGGACACATGTTGATGTATAAGAGACATGAAGAAGAGGGGACACATGTTGATGTAGAAGAGACATGAAGAAGAGGGGACACATGTTGATGTAGAAGAGACATGAAGAAGAGGGGACACATGTTGATGTAGAAGAGACATGAAGAAGAGGGGACACCTGTTGATGTAGAAGAGACATGAAGAAGAGGGGACACATGTTGATGTTGAAGAGACATGAACAAGAGGGGACACATGTTGATGTAGAAGAGACATGAAGAAGAGGGGACACATGTTGATGTAGAAGAGACATGAAGAAGAGGGGACACATGTTGATGTAGAAGAGACATGAAGAAGAGGGGACACATGTTGATGTAGAAGAGACATGAAGAAGAGGGGACACATGTTGATGTAGAAGAGAAATGAAGAAGAGGGGACACATGTTGATGTAGAAGAGACATGAAGAAGAGGGGACACATGTTGATGTAGAAGAGACATGGAGAAGAGGGGACACATGTTGATGTAGAAGAGACATGAACAAGAGGGGACACATGTTGATGTAGAAGAGACATGAAGAAGAGGGGACACATGTTGATGTAGAAGAGACATGAAGAAGAGGGGACACATGTTGATGTAGAAGAGACATGAAGAAGAGGGGACACATGTTGATGTAGAAGAGACATGAAGAAGAGGGGGACACATGTTGATGTAGAAGAGACATGAAGAAGAGGGGACACATGTTGATGTAGAAGAGACATGAAGAAGAGGGGACACATGTTGATGTAGAAGAGACATGAAGAAGAGGGGACACATGTTGATGTAGAAGAGACATGGAGAAGAGGGGACACATGTTGATGTAGAAGAGACATGAACAAGAGGGGACACATGTTGATGTAGAAGAGACATGAAGAAGAGGGGACACATGTTGATGTAGAAGAGACATGAAGAAGAGGGGACACATGTTGATGTAGAAGAGACATGAAGAAGAGGGGACACATGTTGATGTAGAAGAGACATGAAGAAGTGCATTTTGCATAATAGGGGACCTTTACGGCACGTCCACACAGCGGCGTGCGTTGAAGCTTCCAACGCTTCTGCCCATTCACTTTGAATGGGGTGACGTCACTTTTAGCCGAACTGCATTTTTGGAAGCGACGTGGAGCGTAGCTGGCGTCAAAAGTTGAGCAATGTTCAACTTTTGACGCCTCGACGGAGGCGTCAGCCAATGAAATCCCGTTTATGCAAATCTGCCAGTACAATCGCTAGCCAATCAAACCGCGTGTATGCTGGGAGAGACTACGCAGGTCATTTCCTCATATTCCAAAAACATTGAGGGAAAATTCATTGTAGCGGTAGTGAATCACCCGGTGCTGTATGATCAGTCTCTGTTCATCTACCGGGATACAAACCGGAGGAGCGAGGCATGGAGGGAGGTGGCAGAGACAGTGGGTGAAACTGGTAGGTTTTCGCCTGTTTGGGGATTTTATATCCAGTTTACTTCGTTTTAACATTGCTATTGATGTGTATGTCGGGGGCGGGAGATTCATGTGATTGGTTGTTGGTCGCGTTGTTCGCAAAAAATCCACAAGCTTCAGATACGCCCACCTCCAAGCGTCAACGCACGCCGCTGTGTGGACGGGCCGTTAAGCTACATATTGCAGGTGAAGGCAAGGGGGGGGCTGATTTGTTGGGTATCTTGGGTTTATGTGTGTTAGACTTGTTCATTTAGAGTTCTTGCTAACTGAACGGTGTGTGTGTGTGTGTGTGTGTGTGTGTGTGTGTGTGTGTGTGTGTGTGTGTGTGTGTGTGTGTGTGTGTGTGTGTGTGTGTGTGTGTGTGTGTGTGTGTGTGTGTGTGTGTCTCCCCAGGCCAGCGTCTGTTCGGGGAGACGGTCCTGGGCCTGACGCAGGGCTCCGTGTCCGACCTGCTCTCCAGACCAAAGCCCTGGCACAAGCTGAGCCTGAAGGGCCGCGAGCCGTTTGTCCGCATGCAGCTGTGGCTCAACGACCCGCACAACGTGGACAAGCTGCGGGCCATGAAGAAGATGGAGAAGAAAGGTGTGTGCGCACGATGTGTCTCTGTAGGAGCCATGAATATGTATATTTACACACGGCATCTATTGCACGTCTGTCCGTCCTGGGAGAGGGATCCTCCTCTGTTTCTCTCCTTGAGGTTTCTTGTACTTTGAGCAGGTTTTCTCTCAGTGATTGTGCCGTTATGTTAAATGTGTGTTGTTTGTTTCTCATGTGTTGTGTCTTGATATCTGTCCATGTTGATGTGACACATGGAGCTGCTGTGATGCAAGTCACATTTCAGACTTGATCTGCAGTGGCGTTTTTATATGTACAAAAGTGGTGGGGCACAAAAAACGTAGATGTCTATAAGCTTCTGCAGTGAGGTTCATGGCTGCTGAGGCTCTGACTCTTCAGGTTTACAACTATTATATTTTGACCTAAATCAAAATATAATATTATTTTCAAAAGCTTTTTTTGTCTGATGCTTCGATTAATTTTAAACAGACAGTTCAACAAAAGGATACCCAAAAATTTTTATTTTATCATTTAAATATTGAATTGTTCTCTCTTAGTAAGATCCCATTTTCAACAAAATTACAGTCTTACCTTGACTTGAAGATTAAGTCCATTTGCCTATCCTCTGGACAAAAATCTCTTACTGTTTTGTAAAAGTCCTCCTTATGTTCTTGTAGTTTCAAAAGTCTATCATAAATCTAATCAATAGATTTATGAATCGAAAATTACAAAAGTAGGGTAGACATGTGGATATTATCCGGCTGAACAAAACGTGCATTTATCTAACAGGTTTGTTTCCCACAGACCTTATTTGGAGCTATTTTCTAAAATCCTATGGAGAAATCTCATTGCTTTTTTGTGGAGGGAACCCATGCGCAGCTTACTTCCGGGTTTTAGGACGCGTCTCTCTCCTCCTCTTCACACACCACACTTTTCGCGGCACACGTACTTACAGCCAATCAGCTCTGAATGATGTGAGATGACGTATGGTGGGGATGGCAGCTCTATGCCCTTATGTGCATTATTTTTTTGCCACACACATTAAATAGGAAAATATTCTGAGCATGCGCAGTTTAGTTTTTACAGTCACCGTTCACTTAGACAGGGAGAGGGAGGGGCAGGATCGGGTTTTGTCCCATGGCTCTAAACAGCTCAATAGGCACACACTGTAGACACTAATTAGAAGAACACTGACTAAAACAGCAATGAGACGAATCAGATGATTAAACATGACCTTAAAATATATTTTATATATTTTTTAATTTATGTTTTGCATTTTTTTGTAATCATTATTTTTAATACTTTCTGCTGACACTAGGTGGGGCTGTGCCCCTAATGACCAGTCGCCACTGTTGATCTGACATTAAAGTGTTACCGTATCTCTTCAGCGTACCTGAAGAGGCGTTACGGTCTGCTGAGCACGGGTTCGGACAGCGACTCCCCGAGTGTCCGGTCGGAGTGTGTGAGCCCGGCGCTGGCCTCTCTGGACCTCTGCCCTACAGCCAGGCCAAGAAAATCCGGGTGGTGCTGGGCGCTGAGGAGAAGGAGGAGCTGAGGAAGGCCTACCTCCTGGAGCCATACCCCTCCCAGAACACCATCGAGATCCTGGCCTCGCAGCTCCACCTGAAGACCAACACCGTCATCAACTGGTTCCACAACTACAGGCACGTACAACCAGCTCTGGTCAAAGTCAACTTTATTGCCAATCTTTCAGTTTGTGTGTACAGACAGAGAGATCGAAATACCATTTCCCACAATCCTGAATACAAAAACAACAAATATATATACAAATATGTATGCAAATATGTATATACCTATATACTGTATACACAATAAACAGACACATTTATGCCTATGCACACATTAAGACCTAAATAAAAGCACAACAATTGTTTTACTGTAAACTGCAACTAGGAATGTACATTTACTCAAGTACTGTACTTTAGTTGAATAGTTCCATTTAAGGCTGCTTATTACTTCTACTCCACTACATTTCTGAGGCAATTATCATACTTTTTAGGTATAAAACATGGTATGCTTATAATATGTGATGCACTAACTTAGTAAATGTACGCAAGTATCCACAACCACAGACACGTACAACCGTTTTCCTGCTGTCTCACTGTAAACTGCAACCAGGAGTGTACATTTACTCAAGTACTGTACTTAAGTACTATTTTGACGGACTTGTCATACTTTTTGCTCGACTACTTTTTATTGAACACTTACTTTTTACATATACTGTACAAACACATTGCACTGCTGTACTACTAATAACCCAGTATTTTACAAAAGTTGTGGGCAGTAAATGTACTTAAGTATTGTACATGAGTCCTTTTGCTACATAGACATGACATGTAACACTCAGGGCTCCTATTGGCTAGCGCTCCAACACATTGTTTGTGATGGCTAAGGGGTGGGACATCTCTAAGCGGTTGACCAATCACAGTCTAACAGCAGTTTTTTGTGCGCAGGTCCAGGATGCGACGGGAGGTTTTGATGGAGGGTCTGCAAGACAACGACATGGATGCTGAGCCTCACAGCTACTCTCCCTCAGCGACACGGAGCCCCCCCTCAGAAGGAGAGGACCGGAGACCCCCCTCAGGACACTTCCACACCTCCCTGCCTCACGTCAAACAGGAAGAAGAGGGAGGTGAGCTGATGAAGTCTTCCAGGGTCCAGTGTTTCTCCACCGCCGTGCAGTTCCCACCGCTGAAAAGCGAGCACGAGGATGCAATGTCTGGATGTCGGGAGCCTCACCTGGAGGGGATGAGCAGCCCGGGTCAGGGTCTGTATGCTGACGGCCCCCAGAGGAACATCCAGTCCAGGCATGAAGGAGGGGGGGAAGAGTCTGGGAAGTCCCCCGTGGATCCGGTGAGCTTCAAGGCTTCGTCGGAGCCGTGCCGCAGCAGTTTGGAAGTTTCCCTGAACTCCCCGTCCGCAGCGTCCTCCCCCGGACTCATGATGTCTGTCTCCCCCGTCCCCTCCTCCTCCGCCCCCATCTCGCCCAACCCCCCCTCCACGAGCACCAATCACAGCCTGGACCCCGGCCAGCTGCAAAGCCCCAAAGTCAACAGAAGCAGTCAGAGACGCAACGAGAAAATGGCCAACCTCAATAACATCATCCACAGGTTAGAGAGGGCGGCCAATCGAGAAGAAACACTGGAGTGGGAGTTTTAATTAAACCCCCCCACCAACGTCTTTTTGCTTGTATGTAGTACGGATGACCCTCGCGGCACACAAGGGGGTCATCCTCGGAGTGGAGCCTGGCTCCTGAAAAGACGGAAAACTCACCGGGAGAAGCTAAACTGAATTCCCTGCAAGAACTAAAAGAGTTGAGAAAAAAAAGTTTATAATTGTGTATTTGTTGTTTTTCTTTTGATAATGCATACTACTTTGAGATATATGTGACAGCACTAGCTGTTGTTTTACCTATTGGACTTGACATGAAGACTTTTGCAGCTATGGTGTCATAAATGTACACTGAAGTTCTGTAGATTGCCACTGGGTGAGATTAAAAAAGACCCCTGTCTTAAGCCATTAAAAGCACTATAACTATTTGAAAAAGAGACATTGACCAAATTTGCTACTTTTTGAATAGCAATTTTTCAGATTTTGTCTGTAAGACTGGACAGTTTAAGTCATGTACCATGAAATCCTACTGACTGAGGGATAGTCCTTTAAGACTCTAAATACTCAACATCTTGTATGTAACTTAGTTTCTTGGTGATATGTTTTGAACTATTTGTAACTCACACGTATAAAATGTGGTTGTACATGTTGTAGAATTGTCTGCAATAGCCTTCTCTAAACCTGATGTAGCATGGTACTCACCTGACCCTGTTATCCTCTGTAGTTAGTCACCTGTGATTATACTTGAGCGAAAACAAGAGAAAAAAAAAGTTGAAAACCCTGCAAAAAACAAGAAAAAAGGAGAATCTAATGAGTAGAGTACTTTAGTGTTTTAGTTTTCTTTCTTTGTATACTCCTTGAGGTTTACAGTTTAGGGCCCTTGTGCTTCAGTGAGACGTTCACTACACGAGCACAGTTTACACGGTTTCTTTCAGGCTTACCTCTCTGACCCTCCAAGGCGCTGGTTCTCAGACTGTAACAGGACACCTGGTTTACCTCAGATTATGTTGATGCACATCATGCAATGACCATGTGTTTCATTCTTATACATAAACATGACACACGCGTATAGAGTGGTGCAGGGATGACGTGTGTTAGCATCGCAAAGAGCTTCCTCGACAAAATGTGATTATTGCAGATAATCTTCTACACACTTTTATGATACTTACACGTTTTATTCAGCAGGATCATCTCCACATATTAACACCACTTTTATAATAGTTAACGAGTGAATGCAATATCCAGAAGTAAAAAGCTAACGTTTGGATAGAAACAAACTACAGAATGATCACATGACAGGATACACGGATGCAAACTCCAAAAGCTAATGTTGGGCTGCAAAGGAACGGTCGCATGACTTCACGTCACCACCGCTAAGCTAAAGGTGGCTAATGTTGGGCGTGATGACGGTTAGTCGTCTCATTTGGACACTTGTTAGCAACCGCTGTTTTATAAATTCATATTCAGTGGGGATTTACTGAAACCTATTCAGCTTGTGTTAACCACAGACCTTCATTTACTAGCCAAACACAAACTCTAAAAACAAGACGAGGGACTGAGAAGTGGTCAAATGCTAAGCTGGGTTCAAGCACTCATTCCTGCACCGCTCTATTAGAACCAATGGAGGGGTCAGATCTGTATCATGCCTCAGACGTGATCGAAAACATGAAGCGAGTTTTAACGAACACAATCTGTCTTTTACAAAGAACATGCTGCTCTGAGCTAATATTATGTGTATAATATGATCCTCCTCAACCCTGATTGAGTGCACTTTTTAAAAATGTGGGTCATTTATTGTAGCTAGAATACTGCGATGTGGGGCGGTTTGATATACCTGCCGTGAGAAACACTACAGTGCTGTGAATTGATCTGAGAGCATGATACAGATGACCTCTAATCAACATAATCTAATCTGTAAGTACACTATATTCAAGGACACACAAGGTTACAGGTACCCCTCATATTATCTTTGACCACTTGTGTATTGTGTCTGTGGAAGTTTTTTTGTCATGCTTGCGAGATGTTCTTTATGTGTTTTGCCTCTATTTTATACTCAGTTAACTAGATATTCAATACCTCGTGTATGAACTACTTACAGCACTTAGATTTTGATAATTGTGAGGACTTGAGAGAAAAATTTGAAATATCAACATTAACCTAACTTTAGTGTCCACAAGTCTTTGCCTTTACTGTATCGTTGAAGTTGGTAGTAAACACTTGCACATGTCTACATAGTTCAGAGGACTTGGATTGTATTATGTAGAGATATATATTACACAATTACTAAAAAAAGAAGAATAATATCTTACATTCTTGGAACAAAATGTGCTGATTATATTGAAATAGAGTGTACAGATTTAATAAACCAAACCCATTCAAGCCAGTTCTGGTCTGGCAAGCGTGCCCACGTTTTAGACCTTCTCTCAGGGTAGTCTTGCTTTTTAAAGCTTTACTGAAAAACAGTTGCTCATCAGTGGCGGTGACTATGATAAAACATGATGTGGTGTAGAGAAAGACTCCGTTAAATATTAAATGGATCCGTGGAAAGTTGTGTGTATACGGGAAATGCAACTTTCTCGGTTGGTGGTGGTGTGAGTTGGAGAGCTGTTTTGTAATTCATTACTCAGATGTGTCAAAGTGCAGCGTTGATTGGAAATAGCAGGACGAGGCTGGTGGGGTTTCAGATCAGTAGACTTTGCTCTCTAAAATACTCTTTCTGTTTTCTCTTTGGAGCCACAGAAGATTTTTCTCTGGTTTTCGTACCACCATTTTTTTGTGCATAATATACTGTATGATTAGAAGTGGCATTTCTAATGTGGAAATAACATTGTCTTTCATGGTAACATGGACATATGACATGCATTATCTCTCCATGTAAAGCTCATCTCATCGTTTTGCATGCAAATCCATTCTGGTCTCATGACAGGGGATAGGGCTGTGTTTTTGTGTTGTTGTTCTTGCACAGGGACATTAAGTCAGTCTTTCTACATTAGTGAAGTCCATGCATGGTGCAGCTGATAAATCTGGCTCTCACAAAGTCATCATCAAACAATATAACTTCCAGGTAAATATTGAAATCAAGATTATTTTGTGCCATATCATACGCCTCATGCATTATCCTAACAGGAGTAAAGTGGTGAAGTGTGATTTAAGAAGGGTGTAGGGCTTTTTTGTAAGTTAAGAAACAGAGCAAAGCTTTGTTCATAACAGCAGCCCTACACACAAGATGGTTTTATTTTCTAATTGACACGAGTCACTAAATAAAGAGGCAATTGGTCGGATTCAAAATTTGAATGATTGTTATCTGAGTTGTTAATATAAAAACAATATCTACAACTCTGACTCTGAGGGTTTGTCACAAGGGGAAAACATCTTGGGAAAGTCCGCTGTGTGAGCCAATAAAGAGAGGCGTCCTGCAGGCTTTAGTCACATGTCAGGCTCGTAATGTTAAAGAATGGACAAAGGTATGCCAAGCGTCTTGGAAATTGAATTTGCATATGTAAGCCATCATTCAATACATACTTGTTTAAGATCCTGCTGTGTTGTGTTTTTATTTCTTCATGGTGAAGTGCACACACCCACAATACAGATAAATACACACAAATGAATGCTAACATTACAACTTAAAACTATTAAAACCTCACTGTAATGTGTAGCCTATTTCAGGAATCTAGAACGGCACGATATATCGTTAACTACAATGTTTTACTGCATTGTATACCTCAGTACATTTTAATTAGTAGAATGTAGTAAAAGACATAAACGTAACAGACCCTGTACAGAAAAAAAAAAATATATAATATATAAAGATGGATTTTTATAAATGCCAATCATTATTTATCCCTAAAGAAACAGTATAACAATTTGCTAAAAAAGTTCAGTAAAATGTTGAGGTATGTGTACTTTATTTGAGTATTCAAATGTTGTACTTGTACCCCACTACAATTCAGAGGTATATTGCTTACTTTCACTCTACTACATTCATTGAATATCTTTACTTACTTTTGGATTATTGATACGAAGTATAATTAACACTTAAACAGGAATTGAGTTACACCTGGAGTAACTTTCACAGGCTACCCTGCAGTATACAACATCTGATCATTCTTCAATTAATCAATAATTAAAGTCAGAAATATATATATATATATATCATTCTGAAATGGACCAATCTGCACAATGACTACTTTAACTATATTTTGATGATAATACGTTTCTACTTTTACTTGAGGAACATTTTGAATGCATTACTTTTACTGAAACTGAGTATTCCTACACTCTGGTACTTCTACTTTTACTCAAGTACAAGATCTGAGTTCTTCTACTTTAACTCAAGTACAAGATCTGAGTACTTCTACTTTTACTCAAGTACAAGATCTGAGTACTTCTACTTTTACTCAAGTACAAGATCTGAGTACTTCTACTTTTACTCAAGTACAAGATCTGAGTACTTCTACTTTTACTCAAGTACAAGATCTGAGTTCTTCTACTTTTACTCAAGTACAAGATCTGAGTACTTCTACTTTTACTCAAGTACAAGATCTGAGTACTTCTACTTTTACTCAAGTACAAGATCTGAGTACTTCTACTTTACTCAAGTACAAGATCTGAGTTCTTCTACTGTTACTCAAGAGTACTTCTACTTTTACTCAAGTACAAGATCAGAGTACTTATACTTATACTCAAGTACAAGATCTGAGTACTTCTACTTTTACTCAAGTACAAGATCTGAGTACTTCTACTTTACTCAAGTACAAGATCTGAGTTCTTCTACTGTTACTCAAGAGTACTTCTACTTTTACTCAAGTACAAGATCGGAGTACTTCTACTTATACTCAAGTACAAGATCTGAGTACTTCTACTTTTACTCAAACAAGTTCTGAGTACTTCTACTTTTACTCAAGTACAAGATCTGGTTATTCAATTCAACTCAAATAGCTTTATTAGCGTGACCATAAAGACATACAGTATCGGCCAAAGCTTTGTACAATTGTGTCATCTAAATACACATTTGAAATATAATGTTAAATTCATCAACATTTGTGAACAAATGCAAGAAAAACATGTTTTCTTAGTAACCAAAGGAATAATTAATTAAATAAAACAATGAATTAGTTTAAAAAGAGTTATGTGAGTTGTTGATTGTTGTGCATGCTGATAGTCAATATGTGGGATGTGGACCTGGGGCCTGTACTACGAAGCTGGTTCAACCTAACCTGGATATGTTTGAGTTAGCCGGTTGGCCTAATCCAAAACATACGCGCTCTCGCTAAACTGTACTACGACGCTGGTTATCAAGTGGATCGCTCAAGCCAGCCGTGTCCTATCTAGTTAGGTGCGCGTTCACATGAAAGGGGTGGTATCTGGAGCATTCGACCAATCACAAACATGGAGAAGCGTACTGACAGCGCAGCGTCATACTTCCTGAATGAAAAGTGAACTTTAATACTAGTCAAAAATGAAGAAGTTAAACTTTGAACATCCATGACTTAAACACTTTATCCAGGATAAAAGCCACATAGCTGCACCTGCAAGGTGAATACAGCTGGGAACAGAACAAGTGTTTGAATGCGTACATTAACAGGTTTATGATATCACTGCCCGTCTAAAACACGATCTGACTTTAATTACATTTGTCTCGAGTGTTTCGTCAACTTAATGTGTTGCTTAAAATAATACTTCTGCATGTGACACTGTGAGTGTTGCACGGCCTGATACGGCTCAGCTGACTCAGATAAGAAAATATATGATACATTATGAAGTGATATGCCGCGGACTGTACTTAATGTTACTCTGATCCGGTTACTTATGTTGTGGCAGATATTTAAGTAAGCTTTCTTAACGCTAATGTTATAATAGTCAGATTGCTCTGAAGATGGAGCTGATATTCTATTAATGTTCACGTTCACACAGTCGGTGATTTTTGCCGGCCGTCTTTCCTGCAACGGCAGCTTTTCTGTATTCCCTTTCTCCTGTAATATGACTTGATCGCTTTAAACTCCGCACACTGAGCTCTGATTGGTCAGCAGGCAGTGCTTTCACTGAGTTTAGCTCTTAGCCTGCAACCTAACCTGGGGGGTATACTACGAAGCAGGATTTTCGCTTAGCCGGCTAAATTCAGGGGAAACTCCGGCTTTCCGGTCCTACGAAGCTGGTTCTCTTTTTAGCGGGCTAGATCTCCATGGTAACTTATGCTTAGCGGCTAACCTGGTCGGGACCAGGTTAGGTTGCAGGCTAAGAGCTCAACTCAGTGAAAGCACCGCCTGCTGACCAATCAGAGCTCAGTGTGCGGAGTTTAAAGCGATCAAGTCATATTACAGGAGAAAGGAAATACAGAAAAACTGCCGTTGCAGGAAAGACGGCCGGCAAAAATCACCGACTGTGTGAACGTGAACATTAATAGAATATCAGCTCCATCTTCAGAGCAATCTGACTATTATAACATTAGCGTTAAGAAAGCTTACTTAAATATCTGCCACAACATAAGTACACTGAGTGCAGACGATGTGTCCCATTATCATTCATATCACATCATATCACTTCATAATGTATCATATATCTCCTTATCTGAGTCAGCTGAGCCGTATCAGGCCGTGCAACACTCACAGTGTCACATACTGTATGCAGAAGTATTATTTTAAGCAACACATTAAGTTGACGAAACACTCGAGACAAATGTAATTAAAGTCAGATCGTGTTTTAGACGGGGCAGTGATATCATAAACCTGTTAATGTACGCATTCAAACACTTGTTCTGTTCCCAGCTGTATTCACCTTGCAGGTGCAGCTCTGTGGCTTTGATCCTGGATCAAGTGTTTAAGTCATGGATGTTTAAAGTTTAACTTATTCATATTTGACTATAGTATTAAAGTTCACTTTTCATTCAGGAAGTATGACGCTGCGCTGTCAGTGCGCTTCTCCATGTTTGTGATTGGTCGAATGCTCCAAATACCACCCCTTTCATGTGAACGCGCACCTAACTAGATAGGACACGGCTGGCTTGAGCGATCCACTTGATAACCAGCGTCGTAGTACAGTTTAGCGAGAGCGCGTATGTTTTGGATTAGGCCAACCGGCTAACTCAAACATATCCAGGTTAGGTTGAACCAGCTTCGTAGTACAGGCCCCTGGTCCCGACCAGGTTAGCCGCTAAGCATAAGTTACCATGGAGATCTAGCCTGCTAAAAAGAGAATCAACTGTCCTGCAATAATGCCGCTTTTTTCATTTCCCCTAGTAATACTTTTAGTTTTCCACTCCCTCATCAGTCCCAGTGTTTACATGATGGCACCGCATGGCGTGTGTTTAAGCCTAAGCCCCGCCCCTCTTGGCCTGAGACGTGGTTCTGACGCGATGACGTCACCACGTAAGTTGTTGGGTTGGAGACTTTGATGGCGTCGAAGGCTCGGAGCTGGAGAGGGACGCAGTAGAGATGGCCTCGGCTCGGATATTATGACTAATGCCTATTTGATCGACGTTTATTTGCTGCTTACTAACTGCACGGGTTTCGGGTGAACCTTTGGCTTCTCATCGGTCCTGCAGCTGGTGAGTTATCCGCCGGTTGTTCTCTTTCCTCGGTTTGTTTTGACAGAAGGCCTCCGTGTTGGGTTCCGCCCTCTATCTCATAACAACAAAAACAGTTGGTAGCTTAGCATGCTAATAGGTAGCCGGGCAGTTTACTGGCTGCTCTGCTTCAGCGACTACTGGAAAACACTGTACAGTAATATACGATTGAAAGACAACATATCATTCACTTTTTAGTAAATGTTAAAATTGGCTAATTGCGATGTTCATATTCAGTTTTTCAGCGTTTCAGCTTGCTAGCAATACTTTTAACTATTTAGCTAACTATTGACGTTAGCTCCAGAACAATCCATCCTAAAGATAACCCTACCCACAGAGAAGTCAGGGCAGCAGGTATGCTGTTTTCTGCTAGCTCTACTTCTATCTATGAACATATATCTAATCTAAATTATTATTTAAATAACGTTAGCTACTGGCTTTTATGTGGCAATAAACAGTGGAGGAAAGTAAGTAGTATTTTAGTATCAAGACTTGTAATGCTACTTTGTACTTGTATTCGTTTAGCCAACTTGAAATAACGTTAGTATTTATGTTGCTTTTGTGCGGTTCTTATAATGCGGCGGAATTTTGTGCAGTGTTGGAAAGGGACTCAGATCCTTTACTGAAGTAAAAGTACAAATACTATGGTCTTAAAATACTCCCCTACAAGTTAAAGTCATGATTTCAAAACGTTACTTTAGTAAAAGTACAAAGTAACACCATCAACATGTACACAAAGTACTCATAATGCACAATGCATGGCCTTTGTAGTTCTGCACAATACAAAAGTATTATCAGCCAAATGTACTTCAAATATCACAAGTAAAACTCCTTAACAGTATTGTATTATTGTGGTTAATATATTATCCTGTTTTTATACATTTTAGTATTGTAGTTTCTAAATGTGAAATGTATACTTGAAATATTGTTTTAGAGAAGTACTTCAGTACCACATCAGCATATCATGTGCTTTTATATGTACAAAGTAAGTGTGAGTGTTAAA